ATTAAAGAGTGCTCAATACACAAAAAGTGTAGAGCTAGTTATATATATGATATCAAAGAGGCAAGATTTTCAATTATTATAAAATCAGTCAGTTTTTTTATATCTTTTTTCAATAGAGCCATGTCTAGCAACCCAACACCTCCAGAATACACGCTCTTGGATTATTGATAGAGCAAACGCAGGAAAACCATGAAATAAACCCAAACTAAATACTAACAAATAGCGGCTATTTAGAGACAATTTGTCACTATCAATGAACCAGAAGGCAATGAAGATGAATCCGCGTTGGACCATTTTCATTCATTTTTATTGCGGTTTGGTTCATTGATACTGACAAATTGTCTCTAAATAGGCGCTATTTGTTAGTATTTAGTTCGGTTTTATTTCATGGTTTTCCTGCGTTTGCTCTAGAGTGCACGTCACATTAGTCTCCTCGCAGCCGTGTTTAGTTTCGGTCCCGCGTCACGCAACCTCTCTGGAGAGGTTGCGTGACGCGTGACCAAAACTAAACACGTCTGCGAGGAGACTAACGTCACATAAGCATGAAACAATTCTTAATATGTATCGCTAAATAAGATYTAGTTATCAACTAACTAAGAATTCAACAAAGCATAAACACAATGCCAATTATTTAAATTCCTTTGTAGCATTGTTCTCAATTCTTAGTTAGTTGATAACTAAATCTTATTTAGCACTACATAGTTAAGAATTGTTTCATGCTTATGTGACTTGCACTCTACCAGGAACGGTGATCTCATGTTTCAAAAGTTCCTCGCATTATGTTTTCAAGACGAGATCTCAAATTCAGAGATCGATACCTTTTAGTCGAGAGAGCGTGCCAACGGGTACAAACACAAGCTAATGATACATKTCGGATGGTTCACTCCACGTCTTGAACTCAAAACATTACAAAATAAAAATGTGGAGTCTTTTGTTGATAAATAGAAACACAAAATTGCACAAACATTTTGCATACCTCAAGAAATAACGTAATAAACACGGATTAAATTTCTTACAAATTTTCTTTTCCTCTAATACTAGAACGCTTATGACCCCTGGATCATATTTATTTCATCTAAACTGTGTAGATTTTGACTTAACGCTAAAAATATCCGAATATGGGGAACGTAAACATTCGTACCACAAAGTGTGCGTGCTAAGCAACCAGGATTTCTTTTAAATCAAGTGCACTTTCCAACACGATAGAACATGAGCTGAAAGCGTAGCTTATTTGCATCTAATTCCAGGATAAGTTCTATTTGCGCTACAGGTAGATCTAGGGAATGCAGTAAAACAAACAAAAAGAAAAGACCTCTTTGTTAAAGTCAATAATATATAAACTTGAGATTTAAACTATTATTACAAAGAAAAAATATAAAGCAAGTCTCCTATCTTACCGACAAGTACGGCTTTCCGTCCTTCACCCATCCAATGACCATATCAGCCTTGTCCATCTTCCCCTGGCCCGTTGAAATACCAAATCCAACCCAACCTTTGGTAGCGCCATCTAAAGCAAACGATACAGT